GTTCTGGTTGCGCACTTGAAGTAGGCGACCCCTCGCAGCTGATTGGTCCATTTCCATCCGTCTCACATTCTCCAAATTTCTCAAGCGCTTCACCACATATCCACCTCCATCGTAAGACCCAATTAAATCCACGTGAACCAGATCCCAAGGGTTAACCGTCTTGAGTGATCTGGGAGGCAAAAGGCCGTAGTCCTGCTTGCCATCGTGAACCTTTGCACGCTTGCAGACAAGACATTTCTTGAGCTGCACCGCAATGAACGTCTCCATGCCGGGTCAGTATAGAACTTGGCGCATGGTCTTGAGCTGCCGTTTGGACCCCGGATGTGCTAGATTCTGGTGGTACCAGTCGATGAGATCTTCTCGGAGCGACTGGGAGATAATTACACGGCCGTGATATGCCACTAGGGTACATCCTAGTAGGGACATAAGCCTGTAGTCCGGGTTGTTGTCACGCAGTCTTGATCTTCTGGATCATTTCGTCTTTGGCTTGGTGCTCACGGATGGCAGGTCCGTGCATCACACACTCGGGTTCCTCCTCAATTGCGTAGACCTCTTCCTCTAGCGACGGCTGTTGCTGGGACTCGAACTGCATTCGAGAGAAAGCGTCTGCTCCGATGTTCTTCGAGCCTTTGGTATAATGCAGCGCGAGACGATACTCAGAGAGCAGAAGCTTCCAACGTTTCACTCGCCGGTTGTTCTCAGTCGGGTAATTGAGATTCTTGTGGTCAGTGTGAACGACCACTTCGAAACCCATCAACATGGTACGGTACTCGCGGAGTAGAGACACAATCGAGAGAAGCTCTAGCTCCGTCGTCGTGTAGTTGACTTGATACTTGTCCAGTGCACGAGAGTAGCACGCCAAAATCGAGTTCTGCAGCATGATAATACCTCCAAGTTGTTTTCCACTGGCGTCGGCATACACGTGAAAAGGGCGGCTGAAATCTGGAAATGCGAGGAGAACTGCTTCAGCAATTTTTTTTCTTGATCGCGTTGAACGCGTCCGTGTCGCTTTGTAGCCATGTGAACGGAGTTTTGCTGCTCGTGAGACGGTTGAGCGGAGCACACAGGGCAGCCTTATTAGGCACCATATCCCTGTAGTAGTTGATCATGCCGAGGAATCTACGAAGTTCCTTTCTGTTCTTAAGAACTGCAATCTGCTGGATTGCTTAAATCTTTTTGGCCTGCGGTTGAATACCTTCAGCGGTCAGCGTAAAGCCAAGGTAGTCAACGGAGTCGCGCAAGATGTGGCACTTCTTGCCGTTTAGTGTGATGTGGAATTTTTCCAGACGATCGAACACCACACGTAGGTGGTCCAGGTGCTCGTCTTCAGCGCTGGAGAATACGAGGATGTCGTCGAGGTACACAACAACAAACGATAGGGCCAATGATCTTCTCCATGCACGCCTGATACTCGTCAGGGGCAGTAGCGATGCCCATGGGTAGCCTCTTATATTGAAACTTGCCCCAGGGGAGACAAAATGCAGTATACGGGCGACTCTGTTGGGCGAGGCGGCGCGCGTAGTAGCCCATGTTGGCGTCGAACGAAGAGAGGAATTTAGCTCCAGCAAGTCGCAGCAGGATCTCGCGGATTTTGGGCACGTAGTACGGGCTTCTGCGTAGGTACTTGTTGAGAAGTCTGTAGTCAATCAGCAGACGTAATGTCCCGTTTTCTTTGACCAGGAAAAATGCTGGGGAAGCTATTTCCGACCCGTAGATCTGTTCGAGAACATCTTGATTCACGAGTCGTTGAATCTCAGCCTTCGCCTTGTCTTCTATGCTACGTGGAATCACGTACGGTTTTGCATGTACTGGTTTGAAGTCAGGTGATAGAGGTAGCACATAATCGTCGAAGCGCATTCGTCCGAGGTGTCCGTCATACATATGTGCGTAGGCTTGCATCAGTTTCAGGTTGCGAGCTGCTACTTCTCCTGACAGATTGTCGGGCATCAAGTCTGTTGGGCTAACAGCCGTGTCCACAGTCTCCTTGCATTTGTCAGGAAACTCGTGGTCCGTCATCACTGTCGACGCTGGTGCTTCACTGGGAGGGCCCATATTGAGCGTTGTAGCGTAGCCGTCCCATTGGACAATTTTATCCTTAAAATTGAGCACTATGCCCAGTGCATCCATGAGATCTCGTCCAATGACCATCGGGTCAGAGCTGTGACCGAGGATCTCAAATCGGTGGGTAATCTTGGTCGTCGGATTCAGGTAAGGAAACTTAAACTGCACCACGGCGGTACCATCGCTCTTGACTTGGCCGCCCACCGTTTGGAACGTTGTCTTGGACTCGCCTTGTCGGCGACCGTGTGACGACAAGACTTCCATCGTGGCGGCGTTGATCACACTTTTGGAGGCTCCGCTGTCGAGTTGCGCGTGGATCTTCTTGCTCTCCTTGCGTAGTTGTACCTCGATGCGTAGAGGAGATTTGGGGGCGACGAGCTTTGGGTCCACCAGTCCGATGAACTTGTACTCGTCCTCGTCGCTAGACTCGCTGTCACTGTTGCGGTCTTTGTACACTCTTGGGTACTTCTTCGGCTTTGTCTTCTTCTTTGCATCAGCGCGTTTATGCTCCTCCTGTTGTTGTTTCTTGAGCGCAAAACAGTCAGCTGTGTTGTGTGACGAGGTCTGATAGTGAGTGCACCACTTGTTCGGGTTCTTGGACGCCGAGGCAGAAGACGCGTTGTTGGTCTTGTCTATGTTACCTTTGTGCCGATCCGACTTCTCGGGCTTGCTGAAACGCGAAGGGCGCGAGGATTTGCTGGAACTATTGCTTTCTTTCTCTTTGCAACCAGCCTTTTCTCGCATCTCTACGCGCTCAAAATACTGGATCAGCTCACTCATCCGGTCGTGAGCGACACCAGATGCTGCGAGCTTGTCTTGCCATGCGTGCGGCATAAATCTCTTGTAGAACCGGCACTGCTGAACCTCAGGGATGACTTCCGCGTTATTTGGCAGCTCAGCAAGCATACGTACCAGCTCCTTGAGCCGTCTGTAGAGTTGCTGGACGCTCTCGTTAGAGCGCTTCACCAGGCTCCATAGTTCTTCGTCGAGCGTCTCGATGTAATTAGCCGGGACTAGCAGCCTTCCAATGCTCTCGTTGAACTCAGTCAAGGATAAGCCGTTCTGGACCGCCTGTCCAACGTTGTCCTCGACGTCGCACTTCAACTCCCCGTCCAGGAGAAGAAGAAGTTGCATCGCGGCTTGCTCGACTGTCCAACCTTTCCGTTGGGCGATGCTATTGAAGCGTATGCTCCATCGCAGACAGTCCTTGGCGTTGCCCCCGTAGAACTTGGGGATATGGATCTTGGTCGTGTCGGCTGGAACGTGCTCGGTTGCGGGGCTTGTGACGATCGTGTAGGTGACGTAGTCGTCCTCGTCGTGTTGCTTGCGCCCCATGTCTGAAGGTCCTCGATTCGTCTTGCAGATTTGATATATCAAAATGACGCACCTTGGCTAGCAGAGGGTCGCGACGAATCTTGGGTTTGTGGTTGACTTGGTCTTCTTGAGGAAAAAAAGGAAAGTGAGTTTATTTGTGGTTGAGCGGTAGGCGCTTCGTCTAGTTTAAATTCTCTGAATATTTATATCCAGAGTCTTAGTGGCTTCGGAAACCCTCGGATATCCTGTATCATATTATATTTGGTTACTTTTGTAATAACACAATACTTTGAATTG